CAAATATTACGTATAAGTGTATCGAATGCCCGGAATATAAAATAAATTGTATAGTAAGTTATTTTATTTATTTTTTTAATTTAAAAGAAAAATAAAAATCCAGCATATTATTATTATATTTATAATTATTATAAATATTGTACGGATAGTGTATTCGTGTTCTTCTTCTTCTAATTATAACATGAATTTTTCCAAACTAATCTTAGCGAAACCTTCGATATAAGCTTCTTAAGGTCAATAAAATGGCAGTTCATTGCCATAAACATTATTATTCTTTCGAAACAACACATTCAATTAAAGTACTGTTTCATGTAAGTACTTCATTTAGACAAAATTAATAGAAATTTTTTTACGCTAATATATTACAGTATCAAGTTGAAATACTTGTACGATTTCTAAATTCTCCACATTGACAAAATTTATTTGATTTGAAATTGGCTAAAAGGCTTTTTTTTCTTCTATTAAAGTATCGAGATGACTTTTACTTATAAAATTAGAAATTTCTAAACTATTTTATTGACGCAACTTCTCCTTCAACTTTAAAATACTTAATGTCCTATAAAATTCTCTATAATAATTGCTGATAAATATTATTGTAAAATAAATTTCATTTTTTTAAGCCTAAACATTTTTTCGATTGAAATACGATATATAAATTAGTCTACTAATTTTATAAATTCGCATAATTGTTACAATACTTAAAATGCAGTACTGCAAATTAATATCTCTATGCGTGGAAGATAGCATATTTGATAATGTAAAACAAAAGAAAGCAATGGTAAGTCAGGTGCACGTATGTTATATTTGAATTATTTGTTGTTGTTGTTTTTTTTTTCTTTTATCAATCTAATAATTCAGGATATACTCCTGAATATGATATATACCACTTCAGTATATATACGTGTAATCAAGTATAATTATCAGTGACTAAAATCAGTATATTCTCGTCTTCTATACAGAAGTTCAAAACAATATGTTTCACGACTCATCTATTCAAATGCATTAAAATGTTAATAACGAGTATTAAAAACATATAAAATAATAAACGATGCTCTCCTTATTTTAGAATAATTGACATTTTGAAATTGAATTGCTTTACTTTCTGGGAACAATTTTTATCATGAAAATTAATTGAAAATTTGATTCTCTAGAACGGAAAATATTATATTTAGAGCACAAAGCAGTATTATTCGATTTCCTCGAAAATTTTCCTCTTAAGACATATTGAATTTTTCTAGTTTGAATTTTGATAAAAAAATCATTCTAAACGAAAGTAATTAGCCATATTAATAAATAAATTGTTATTTGAAATACAATGCTGTTGTTAAACATTTGAGTTAAATGATAAACAATAGCACTGAGAGGAAACTAAATGAACTATCGATTTTTAAGACTAATTGAAAACAATTTATTAAGTACGGTAATTTCTGATTAGTTATTCTTTAATGATTTTATTAATTTAATAATAAAAAAAAAAAAAAAGCAATACAAAAATTTTAAAAATCTCTTCATGACAACTGTTTAGCAGTACAGCGCAATAAAATTTAAGAAATTATCGTTTCCAATTTGATATTTCACAAGCATCATAAAATAAATACAAAATATAGTCTTGTGCATTCCCTTCATTGTACAATAATATAAAGTGAATAACTATAATGAAAAAAAAACACGGTAAAAAAAAATAATATTAAAATTTTTCAAAAAGAATTATTAAGAGCTTAAATTTGAATTTATTGTGATACAACTGATAACTGTCTTCGTTATAAAGAAATGAATGGTAAAAAAATCTTGAAAAGTGTAAGTTTAATTAAAAAGTTTCCTTTTACGCATATTGAAAACCAACTGAATTATGACATTGACTGATGCACGATAAAATAAATATAAAAGTATCAAAAGGAAAATTGTAGGTATTCAGTTTTTATAATTTGTTTACAAAAAAATAATTCAAATTTTGCAAAATCAAATCGTACAAAATTAAAAAAATTAACAAAAACAAAACTGTATACAAATTTTGTTTTTGTTCGACAATTATCGGAGATAAATAATTTGTTAAATTATATTAAAATCATATTTAACTCCTAATATACTTGATTATAACTGTAATAAAAAGTACAATCAATTTCATAGAGTAAAAGTGGAGAAATTTAATGTTTTTGGTTATTTAAAAGTGTGCAATTCATGTTACATTTAACAAAACATCGTATCCAATTCATTTATGAATATTCAATTACTAAATATATTTAACCATGTCCATGCGATTCATGAACTGCGTTGCGAAAAAGTAGTCAGTTATTGTAATATTCGTAAATATGCGCATAAAAATACGAACAATTTTGTTACGAACAAACTTGTAATACATTTTTAAATAACAAATTCATAAAATAGTGTGAATTTTAGTAAAACATTTTTTCACCAGATCCCATTTCATTGTTGCAAACTGAAAATTGTTTTCCAATTGACAGATAACTAAACATTCCCGCATCTGAAGCATTATTTGCAAAATAAAATACATAAACAATGAATGTAATATTGATATATTGTGCCCCATTTTTATAAGTTGCGAAACGTAACGTATTGAAAAAGAAAAAAGAGATAATAGATTTAATCGTATAGAATAGTTGTTTTCGTCATTAATGACTTGAATTTAATATATTATCGTGTGTACGGAATAATTGTTGAATGATGTACGATCATTTAAAATCGATCGAATAATTGAATAAAAGCCTATTCGCTCAAAGCAATATTATCAAGAAATTTATAACTACGATGAGCTAACATTTTTGTATGCAAATCGTTAAGTAACTTTTACAGAATATAATAATCGAAAAATGGCGTAGCCATTGCCTATTATTAATTTGTATTGTAAAAAAGAAGTTCGACCGTGTTTAATAAGGCCATTGTCACGTTTATAATACAAAGTACATAATACAAATAGCGACGTTTCGTCTGTATTAGTGATTAATTATAAAAGTATAAAGAAAAGAAGAAGAAAAAGAGAAAACAAATTTTGGAATTAATGAAAGAAAGTAGCGCAATCGTAGAAATGACAATGTAGGGGTTTCACTGCGAATATATGATTCATTACAAATATCAAATGATAGAGAATCGAAAGTTTAATTTATAAAAAACAAAAACAAAAGAAAAAACAAAACTAACGAAGAAAAAATTAACAATCCCATATAATTAGGCTGAAAGCCGTTATAGAATGCGAAAATTTCCTTGAATAAATGGTTATTAATATTCATTATTCTTGCCGAATGAATGACGACATTTAAAGCGTTGGAAAAAAAATTTGTTTAAACTTGTCCAATCGTAATAAGAAATCTTCAAAAAAATATGCTAGGAAACTTTAGAAGCTTTTCCAAAGGAGCTTAACGATCCATTTAATGAGCTCGCTTCAATTTCAACGACGTTCAGTTCTATCACGAAAAAGTCACTACTCATTTATCCAGCTTCCTTTTTTAATAAATACAAAATGAGAACACGAGAAAGATAATTATTCACTAATTTGCGCAAGCTTTTGTGTGGATTTGTTTAAATATCGTTATAAAGATAGAGCTATGATAATAGTAACAAAGTTTATCTATTGATTGGAGCATTCGGTAAGATATACTTGTCTATCGCACTCTGCCATTAATCACGCATTATGCTCTCTCTCTCTCTCTCTCTCTATTTTTTGTTTTTCTTCATCATATTCTTCTTCTTAAATAATTATACTACAAATCCGGTAAAGTATCGACATATTTTATGAATATAAAATTTCTCGTAATAATTGATGTTTATCCGATAATGAAAATTGATTTAAATAACATCTTTTATTTCTAATATGTGTGTGCGTGTGTGTGTGTTTGTGCTCACATTGCTCGCAAAAGAAGATTTTTCGTTACGCTTTTAAAGTAAATAAAGATATTGAAAAAATATAAAACAATATAATAAATTTAAAGCTATCGTATTCGTAGTTACTGTTTAACTTTGTATTTTTTCACAATAAATACTTTTAATATTTCATTACTTGAATATTAATGTGTCTAAAGCATAAAATACGTACTTGAGTATAAAAAAAAAAAAAAAAAATCACTTCATTTCTTTATTTCAGATGACCATATTTCAAGATTCTAGACATACGATTTCTCTATTTGAGAATTAGATTTATCATTGGTTAGTGAAAGAAAGAGATAGAGAAACCGAATAATTCTCCCCTTCCTTTCATTTCATTGCACCTGAAAATGAAGGGACAAAGTTTAAACGTTTCGTCCTTTGTTTTTTTTTTTTTTTTGTTTTTTTTTTTGTTGTTTCTTTTTTTTGCATTGAATCTTGTAATTATCATCGAATATTTTATAATTTCCTTGTAGGGTGCCCGGTGATGGTAAATGAGCCTTGCGCCAACCACACAACATACATTTGGCATTTAACTATGAGACTGCGAATCAGAATTTTTCCAACGACATTTGTAAAATATGATTTGAAGTAGAGTAAAGTCTAATAAATACCAAATGAAAATAATCGTCACAACGGCTTCAATTCATCTCGTAACAAAGTCAATAAATTTTGATAATTTTTCAAGCGTTC